GAGGCAGAGGACTTGCTAGGTTCTTCTTAGGTGAGCCTTTCTATAACATGTTCTTCCCATGTGTTCACAGAAGGAAGGTCATGGCACATGTGAGGTCCTAAAGCATTTGTTGCCTTGTCTATCTCAACATTTTGTTGATTTTTTTTGCAATTTAGTTTCTTGTGTATGTTGTCAAATGCAATTTATCATTCGCTTTTTGGAACTCTTGGGCTTGGTAATTTAGTAGGAGAAATTGGCTGTGATTCTATCTCAGATTGCTAAATTTCTGATTGCTTTGAGATAGACTCATAGTTACATAGTTATGTAGCTGAAAAGAGACTTGCATCCATCAAGTTCAGCCTTCCTCACATATGTTGTTGCTGTTGATCCAAAATTACAGTGTGCACTACGTCTACTTCAAACCAAGATCACGTTTACTCAGAAGGAACTTAGAAGGATCCTTCAACTCGACTACATCTCTTTGCGTCTGCTTGCATGCATCATAGTACTTCTCTCCACATCAATTCAACCATTCTACCCAGGACAGTGTCGTACACATGACCCATAGGACCCCGGTGCAAAAATTGATCCATGGGCTCTTACTCTGCGCGGGCCGGCACACATGGCGGCGGGCACCTGGTCACAGGGGTTGCAGGGCTGCGACCTCTGCGACCGCGGTATGTACGCCAGTGCATGCAGATGCACACACTTAAAGGACCACTACAGACACCCAGATCACATCAGCTCAATGAAGTGGTCTGGGTGCCAGGTCCCTCTAGTATTAACCCTACAGCTGAAAACTGCTAGGTTTCATTGAGGGTTAATCAGTGAGAAGACACTGAACGTCCATAGGAAAGCATTGAGTAATGCTTTCCTATGGGCGGTTTGAATGCGCGCGCGGCTCTTCTCGTGCATGTGCATTCGGAGCGGAGAGGCGGAGGGATCCCCAGCGCCATGGAAGTCCGGCGCTGGAGAAAGGTAAGTGCTGAAGACACACACACACACTCTCACGAACAGACGCATACACACTAGCTAACAGACACACACATTTACTGACAGACACACTCAGCGACAGACATAAATACACACTCACTTACAAAACATACACTCTCACTGACAAACACACACTCACTAACAGACATCAAACAGACTCACTAACAGACACACACAAACACACTCAGTAACAGACATTCACTAGCAGACACTCACTCAATAACACACACACACACACACTAACACTAACACACACACATGTTTTTTTTTTTTAAGTTTAATCCCCCCAGCCTCCCTACCTGTGGGAGAACTTGACGGGATTACCTGGGGTCCAGTGGTGTCCCCTGGCGGGCGCGCGAGGGAGCACTCTCCCTGGCTGAGTGCTTCCTGTTCAGCTCCCTCGCGCGCCACGTACTGATGCCGGAGCCGGAATATGACGTCATCTTCCGGCTGCGGTATCAGTGCGGTGCGCGAGGGAGCTGAAGAAGAAGCACTCAGGGGAGAGTGCTCCCTCGCGCGCCCGCCAGCCAGCGTGGTGACACCAGGGCCAGCCTCGGGGGGCCCTGAGGTGGTCGGCTCCTGGGTCCCCCAGGAGAAGAGGCTGGCCACAGTGGCATATATACCAGGTCGCATATATACCCCGGTATGTATGCCACTGACCCAGGACTGTTGCATTACCGAGCAATGCAGAGACTGAAGGCCAAATTTCTCTGCATGGGCCACTGTTACGACTAGATAGACCCCATCCCTCAAGATGTCTGGTCAGAACTACAGTGGGAATTTACAAATGGGTGGTTGCGCACAAGAATGTGATAAACAATTCAATTATTTATAAACTATAAAATGGAATTAACACACAAAAAAAAAATACATAAATATAAAAAAATTACTCCAAAAAGTACTAAATTAGTCACAAATGCACACTGCTAAATAAAACATAGAATGTGACGGAATCTAGTCTGCCCAATATTTTTTTTAAATACTTTCATTAGTCCCTGACCTTATCTTAAGTCTATGATAGCCGTATGCCTATCCCACGCATGCTTAAACTCCTTTACTGTGTTACCCTCTACCACTTCAGCTGGAAAGCTATTCCATGCATCCACTACCCTCTCCGTAAAGAAATACTTCCTGATATTATTTTTAAACCTTTGCTCCTCTAATTTAAGACTATGTCCTCTTGTTGTGGTAGTTTTTCTTCTTTTCAATATAGTCTCCTCCTTTACTGTGTTGATTCCATTTATGTATTTAAATGGTTCTATCATACCCCCGTCTCGTCTTTCCTCCAAGCTATACATGTTAATTTCCTTCAACCTTTCCTTGTAAGCTTTATCCTGCAATCCATGAACCAGTTTAGTAGCCCTTCTCTGAACTCTCTGTAAAGTATCAATATCCTTCTGAAGATACGGTCTCCAGTACTGTGTACAATACTCCAAGTGAGGTCTCACCAGTGTTCTGTACAATGGCATGAGCACTTCCCTCTTTCTACTGCCAATACCTCTCCCTATACAACCAAGCATTCTGCTAGCATTTCCTTCTGCTCTGTTACATTGTCTAAAAACAAAACAAAGAAAAAATGAAAAGGGTGTGCCTTAAAAATAGTAATATAGATAATATATACAGGTGGATAATAAGATATAGTTCAAATGACTTAGCACTAGTCCAATGTAGTGTAATCCACAGTAGTAGGGAAAATTCTTGTAGAGCAGCAAATTTGGTAATTCATCACGGGTGTAGGCTTGTAATTCAGTAGAACATATGGGAAAGAAACAGGAAGACGGAAATCCAATGGTACAGTAGGTAGATAAACTTGGATATTGGAATAATAGTAATAAGGTGCCTAGAATTTCCAGAGCTAAAATCCAGCTCTGGTATGGAATGCGTGAAGTGGAATAATCCCCACTTAAGGATATACGGAGTGTAACCAGTTGGGGAATGTATGTAGTAATGCAGTAGTCCAACAGTGGTGTGGTTCCAGCCAAAGTAAAAAGAATAAAATATAGTTCTCACTGTATCTTGCTATAATAGAAGGATAAAAGTATGAAATGTACTCACAGTGTATTGAGCAGGTTCACTGATCGATGTACAGCATATGGGTGGTACAATCCCCACCTAAGGATTCTTTATGCTTCTTTTAGGCGATGAACAACAATGTAGTCTGGTTTAAAGCAAAATAAAAAAAAAGAAAAGAAAATGGCAACCAAGGTAGTTAGAGCCAAAAATTCCTTTATTATGAGAAAATAAAATACTTTTTCTAGACGCATTTCGCCTAGACAGACGTCTTCAAGTAGAAAATTCCTTTTTTCTTTGTTTTGTTTTTACTTATTTATAGGGGACCAGAGGGAACCCTTTTCTTAGGTGTGCTGCCTGTACCATATACACACAATTCATTTCTTGTGGCACCTTAGCACTGATCCTATTCTGACCCTTCTGTTACACTATCTGCCTACCTTTAAGTCATCTGAAATAATCACCCCTAAATCCCTTTCCTCAGATGTTGAGGTTAGGACTCTATTAAATATTCTGTACTCTGCCCTTGGGTTTTTACGTCCAAGATGCATTATGCATTATCTAGCAATTATTCACAAATAAATGTCAGCAACAATACATATACTGAACAATTAAAAAGTATTACTATGCTCAGCAAAAACAGAAAGGGCTCTTATCACCTAAACGGTCATAAAAAAAAGAACTTCCAAAAGTCCAAAAAAATGATGATATAGATCAAGTTGGAGCTCACAATCAGACATAAAATGGGTGTAGATGACAGTACCTTAATGCGGGAGGCCCCAGCGCAGGTCAGATTCCCGGACTGAAGTTCTGAAACTCTAGAGTTCCATAGTAAGTAAAAAGAGGAACTGCAGAGCCGCTCAATAATTGGAATTACCTAGTCAGCTCAGAGCGTGAGCCACACTGACAAGGCTTGACCGCACTGTCAATTTCCAGAATTGTAGCAGTGTAGCAGGCAGGTTATTCCACATACAGCAATGAATCCCAAACTCTTAGCATGATCTCATTTGTCAACCATCAGGAGAGTGCACAGGCCACAAATAACAGGCTGACTACTATAAAATCAATAAACTGAAGGAAGAGTCCTTACAAGCTAGAGCAGGGGTTCCCAAACACAGGGGTGCTGCGGAATGTTTCCCCGGTGCTGTGATTATATCCTCTAAGACCGTGACCAGGCACGTCTAATGTCAGTGGGCTGTCACTTCCTCCCAGCATCATGCAGGGAGACAGCGCGGGAGGTAGAGGAGGCAGCCACAGCATGAGGGGAGAGGAGCAGCAGCAGGACCAGGACTCCAAGCCACCCTCCTGGACACATAAGGTAAGCTCACAGGAGGGTGGCTAGAGATATTAAAAGTATCACGTGTGTGTGTGTGTGCATCAGGGTGTGTGAATGTGTTTGTGTGTCAGGGTGTGCAACTGTGTGTGTATATGTCAGTGTGCTTCTGTGTCAGTGTGTGCGCACACATCTGTGTGTGAGGATATGCATCTGTGTATGTGCATCTGTGTGTCAGAATGTGTTTTATGTCAGTATGTGTGTCTGTTTCATGGTGTGTGTATTTATCAGTGTATGCGTGTTTTAAGGTGTGTGTGTCCATATTAATTTGTGTGCATGTATGTCCATGTAAGTATGTATGTATATGTATGTGGTAGTGTATGTGCGTACATCCAAGCAGTCATACACCAGCACAACATACAAACACACTCCTGCAATCTAACACAAATATTATATATTATATAACACACCCCTTCACTCAAACACAAATAAATACTTCACACAAATGTACATCCGCATTTAAAAGTGAACATTACATTCAGATACACCCCTGCAATCAAACGCAAACATTACATACAAACACACCCCTGTATTAAATCACAATAACTATATACAAGCACCCCTTCAAACGCAAACACTGTACATTACACTGTAGCGCCAGTAAATGCCGCAGCGCTGTACAGATAAACAACCTAAAAATTTCGACTTGAGGTGCCTTAGAAAAATATTTAAATCTTAAGGGCGCCTTGAATCTAAAAAGTTTGGGTGCCACTAAGCTAGAGGAAGAAAATCCAGACTCTGCAGTGGTGGGCAGCTTTCAGCAAGATTGGCAGCAGCAAAGGGCCAATGTTTTTCCCACATTTGCCATTATTGTGAGTGTCATACATCAAATCTAATTGCAGTTGGTATCAGTTCTGCTGATTACTTCACTTTGATAATCAGACATAGTTTCCAGACCTTCTGAAACTTTCTCACGAGGATCCACTTCTGCCCTTTCCTCTGCTCCTAACTAATCCCCTGGGGAACCCTAATCCTCTGGTCCTGCAAGACCACTTGCATCTGGTGGCTTGGACGCTTTCCAGGGTTCCTGGAATGTTGATGGTCTATCACAGAGATCTAAGGACCCGTTATGAAACTCATGGACTCCTGGCACTAGAAGATGCTACCTTGCACCATGGAATTGGAGTGGAAATGGAATAGCTGGTGTTTGGAGAGGGATCTTGATCCCTTAACTGCTCCTGTTCACATAGTTCTTAATGTTCTATCCCACTTATTTTCCTTGGGTCAGTCCTATCACTACATCAATGTTAAGCAGTCGGTTAGTTCCGCTGCACATTTCCCGTTCCACAGGATTCCTATTGGTCAGGGTCCCTTAAGGGGGCTCTCCAGTGCCAGAAAAACGCCTGTGCCACGCACGCGCATTAGACCTCCACATAGGAAAGCATTACTTAATGCTTTCCTATGGGGATTTTGGCGATGCTGGAGGTACTCACGAACAGCGTGAGAACGTCCAACATCGTTTAAAACACTTTTCGTGTTCTAAGAACATGGAGGTCCCTCTAGTGGCTGTCTGATAGAGAGCCAATTGAGGAAGACTTAACCCTGCAACGTAATTATTGCTGTTTATAAAAACTGCAATAATTACACTTGCAGGGTTAAGAGTAGTGGGAGTTGGCACCCAGACCACTCCAATGGGCAGAAGTGGTCTGGGTGCCTGGTGTCTCCCTTTAATTTGTTGGCAGTACTTCAAGATAGCACGCCCTCCATCTCCTCAATATACACATCTTAGAGATGTGGATTTAGTGCTTTGTTTTTTTCAGGAATGGCCATCCAATGAAGAATTGTTGTTTCGCCAACTGTCAGCAAAGTTCATCCTTTTATTTTGTCTTCTATTATTCTGATGGATTTCGGAATGTTCGGGCATTTGATGTTGACAGTTTCTTTTTTCTCAAGTTTTGTTTTCGGTCTCAAGCCTGCATCAACAGCCCCTATGTCCCTTGCACCCACCATGCCCTCCTGAACCACTATCTCTAATGCACCAACAACTCCTATCCCTCTTTGCACTTAAAACAGACCCTATTGCTCCCTGCGCCCCTCCATACCTCTATCTCTCCTGCAACCAATCCCTAAGTGCACACACTAATGCTCCTATGCTATTGACCCTATCCCAAGCACACACTACAGTCTCTATCCCACACACACACAAACAACCCATATCCACAAACATTCTACAACACAAACATTCACATATTACACAGCAAACAGCAGCATTCACACACACAAACCCACAACGGGCCTCTGTTTGCACACTCTCGTAAGCAGCATCCCCACATTCAGCCTTCCTGCACATACATTTCACAGTGACACATGTAATATTGCATACAACCTCTTTACACACGCGCACGCAACTATTACAATCACTTATATAGCACCAACATATTCTGCAGCTTTAAAACTAAAATCTAGACAAACTACTCTAACACAACACGTTTGACATACAGAAAGTATTGCAAAACCATAACATGTGTCTGCCTGTGTGATCCACTGTAACCAGGTTTACTTCAAACTGAACGTAACCACCCACTTGCGTGCATGCATGTGTGTCTATCGCAGTCTCCACCTCTCACATTAAAGGAACACTATATCATTACGAATACAAATGTGCATTCCTAACACTATAGTGCCAGTTTCTCCATTTAGGTGACTGCATCCCCTCCCCCAAGAGGGTAAAAGTTAACTTGAGTTAATCTTGTTTTTTTTTTTATGCTGCACTGCTCTTTGTGTGGCTGACCCTGCCTCCTTGGCTGAGGTTATCAGTCTTGATTACCTTAACCAATCTAAGGCTTACTAATAGGAAAGGATTGGGAAGAAAGTACGCATGCGCAGCAAAAAATCGCTCCTCATCAATCATATGGTCTCTTTTCATCGGATTGAATTAGTCGATTTTTACTCTGCTATTTTACAAAAGTGCCTCAAGTAGCTGTCACATTGGCAGTCAATACAGGCAGGTTTACCCTGCACATAAAATATTTTTACTTGCAGTTAAAATGGAGATAAAGTGGTCTAGTTGCCAATAATGTTCCTTTAATGGATTTGTCAACTTCCCAAATCTTTGCCGTGGTCATCAATTTTAAGGGTACAATTCCTTACCATTAATTTAAGTTGATTGTCCTTTTGTAAGGAGTGATAATAAGGATTTGACTTTAGAATAGGTAAGCAAATTATAGGATACGCAAAATAGACACAGTCCCGCAAAAAAAGTGAACTAAGCCCACGCTCAGAGAAATTCACTGTTGCATGAGTGGGGCTGTCCAGAGTGTCTGTCAGTGAATGCATTTCAGACTGACAGCCTGTCTGGATGACCTGACAAAACAGCAAATAAGCAGCGTGCCGCTGAACAGCTCTGGGCATGGGTTTAATGCCCGGTCATTATAAAAAGTGTTGTTTAAATTGCTCTCACTGGGCTGATTGTAGACATTTCCTTTGTGTCCACACATGCATGACACCACATCCGGGCAAATTGGAAGGTATGAAAATATGAATATACTACAGAAGATTCTTAAAAAAATATAGAGTAAAACAAAAAGGCATTTGACAAGTGCAAAGCATATGGTTAGCTGCATAATAGTTAATCATTCACTTAATTTCAGTGAAGTTGGTGGGACTTTTGTCTATTACCTCTTTTTTGAATAAGAAAAAAGGAAAAGGCATGACATAGACACAAAGAGCAAGTTTTAGCATCGAAGTAAACCATAAACAAGTGTTGACTGTTCGTCTCGTTAGCAGATATCACATATATCAAATAAAGAAAACACAAGACATCACAGCAGAGTTAAAAGATAAAAATCACTCTCCTAGTTTCTAAATAATCTAGCTCGACCATGAGGTCAAATTCTCAAGGGTATGGATCCAAGTTAGCAATTGGTTTAATTTCCTAGCTACAACTGTTAAGGCAACCTGGAGGCAGCTCCCGGGGGCTCAGACTCTCGCTCCTTCTTCTCCTCCTCTTATGTGCTTTGATGTCCTCCATGCTCCACCACCTGGACATGCAAGCAGCGTTTAGAGAGTGCCGGGGAAGAAGGGATTAGGAACACAGAGGAGACTAGCCAAGATGGTGCCCAGTTTCATCCCCTCCTTTATAGTCTACCAGCATACTTATAGGTTGACAACCCTTGTCCTGTCCTCAAACCTCATTCTTAATGTTTTACTTAAACAAACAGTACAAATGGCGCATATTCATCTACCACATTTCTTTGGTATAAAAACAGGCCTGTCCAACCTGCGGCCCGCCAGATGTTGCTGAACTACAACTCCCATGACTCCCTGGCTGTTTCATTGAAAGAATCATGGGAGTTGTAGTTCAGCAACATCTGGGGGTTGGACAGGCCTGGTATAAAACTTGGCAAGTATTTTTTTTTTTTTTTTTTTTATTAAAGGGATACTCTACCAAAATATCTTTAGCTTTATAAGGCGGGTCTGGTCTATAGATTCTGCCCACATAGTATCACTTCTCAAATATTTCTCAATATATTTAGGAGTTAAGTCCCTTTGTGTATTAATTGAAGAGCTCAATGTGTTTACTTTAGATGTTCTTACCTCCTGCTCTGTTAAGTGCACTTTAAATCACACATATTTGGCATAAATTACATTACTGTTTTCAATTGCACCTGTACTCTAGTAACAGAAACTGACAAGGTTCAAAAGGCTTAGATTTATCATTTTAAAATTGTTAAACCTTCATATCCTCCCCTGCTTCCTCCAGACTCCTTAATATAGGAAATGTATCACAAATTTACAAAAATGTATTACAAAAGAGAAGTGCATATAATCTTGTACTCCAAAGACCCTGAATCCATTTAACAAGTAATTCAATAAAACAAGTTAAATGATTTCAGTAGTTGGAAAAAATTTTTTATATTGCAACAGCACTTAAAGCAGGAGAGTGGCGCATTTCTGATTATATAATATATAAAATTACTTTCTTCAATAATCCAGCAGCTATCCACAATATAACAGAAGTAACTGTACAATTATAAGCTTCAGATGAAATTCCACTTCAAATTTCTTTTGTTGTTTTAACTCTGTCAGAAATTTGTGCAAAAAAAAAAAAAAGCAGAAAAGTCAGTTATATTTTGCAATATGATGTCAGAAAGTGACAATCTTAGGTGTCTTCTTGGTGACATTCTGGATTTTTGGACCCACTGGGATTTCTTCATGATCTGCACTCATCCCATATGACCACCTGCCAACTGTCATTTGTGCTGCAAGAGAACAAAATTTATTGGAAAAAAAACAAAAAACAAACACAAAGCTCTCACCTCAAAAATTTACTACTGATAAACTGCTTGGCAGATAAGAGTGAGAAAACTGGAATGCTAACAATTCAGAGAGATCGATCGGTAGATAGATAGGACATTTGAACCATGTATGAAAGGAAAATAATGCCATTGATGGTTTCTTGGAACATAATTACCCACAAGTCAAATGATTAAGAAATGGCATTATTTACCCATAAATAATATACCCACAATGCACGGTATGATGTTATACATCTTTTACATCAAATTATATAAAAGGTAAGTGTTAAGGTGGTGTGGGGCTAAAGTTTAGTAATCGTGTAATGTTGCTTAGGCGTTAAAAGGGGGGGCTTACTGCAAGGGCAGCACCGAGAGATATTTGCTGCCCAAGATTTACAGATCACATGAGGATTACTAGACTGATTCAAGTTGACAGAAAATAATCTCTTACAGCACAACACATTGAACATTTTAAATGATCCACTATTAGATAGTTGTAATTCATAAAAGCCCTGGGTTCGCCCAAAACCAGGCTTTAGTGTTTTGCAGCAGTCACTAGAGAAGCTATTCCGTGAGCAGAGGAGGTTTGCACATGGGGATAGGGATCTGTTTGTCTAGGTGACAACAGCACTATTATTTGTACAAGACAAATACACAAATCTAAACTGCTACAGCACCCAACTGAGAATGTCACATGGAAGAAAACACTCAGCAGACAGACAGCTATAGTAAGGCTGCTTTCTTGGTCTGGGAGGTACTCGTCTGCGATTTCTGCTTGCAATGCATTTGTAGAGGGTAACCTGTACTGGCCCTTTAAAAATATATATTTTGTAACTAATCCTCACCTGAGTTATGATGCTTCGGGCAGTCTCTCTGAAAATGTTCCACTGAACCACAAATCCTACAGCTGCCACCTGCGGGAAAGACATATCCACTTAATAAAACTAGTGCGCATGCATCACAAATGGAAACCTCTACATTTCTTTTTGTAACAAGGTACCAGGAAATATTAATCAGAGTGCACAAAAAACATACTTTTTTAAAATATCAGACATCTCTAAATCTGTGAACAGATAATCAGACAGGTTTTCCCCATCAACTACAACCTAAACATGGAAGATTGCGTAACAATCTGCATAATACACAAAGTGTTAATGCTGCACTCAGCTGTTGTATGTATCATGGTTTAATCAATATTATACAAAGAAATAGGGTTCACTAATCAAATGAACAAGACTTATTAAAGTGATAGGTTCACCTTAACATAAATCAGGGCTCGACAAATCCCAGGCGCCAGGTCGCCATGGCGACTAGAAATTTTACCCTGGCGACTGGGATTTGAAGCCCTTTAGCTAGGAAGGATAAGGGAACAATGGAGTCGGCCAGTCACCCTGAGGAGCGTTGCCTCTCCCCGTCAGAGTGCGCGCCTCTCTCCCCGTCAGAGTGCGCGCCTCTCTCCCCGTCAGAGTGTGCCTGCATAGAGATATAAATTCACCTTACCTCTGACCCATGCCACCATGTCTTCAGCAACGTCAGTGTTACTCTTCTCTAACACCTACCTCCAGTTTGCCTTTACTACTCCCGCAGTCTTATTTGATTTGCCCTGCTTGAGGATGTGTCCCCAAGAAGAGCAAACCTCATCCGTGATGTCAGCGTCTGACCGGAGTGACACCATTCTTATACTTCCTAGCCAGTGCTAGCAGAGTTACCATAGCGCATGCACTGTTGTTGCTATGTGTGGAGAGCAGAAGGACGATTTATGGGAGGTCTCTACTGCTCTCCCTGGTCAGTGAGTTCTTGGGCATCAACATTTTTAAATAGGTTACTCTCCCAAACAATTCATTTGCTAGCACAATGTATAGATTAAATTTTATGCTTAAAACGGCATAAGTTGTAGGCACCACGACAGGCACCCTTTAGGTATTTCTTAAGGCATGATAGTATACAAAACACGTTGTATGGAGTCAGTTTGCTTGGTGCACGTTGTCTATGCTGTGTGTGTAGACATTATATATATATTTATATTTATTTAACAAAAAAATAAATTTGTTTTAAAAAGGATACTATAGTCACCAAAACAACTTTAGCTTAATGAAGCAGTTTGGGTGCATAGATCATGCCCGTGCAATTATATGCCATTTAGGAGTTAAATCATATTTGTTTCAGTCCATGAGGCCCTAGTCACACCACCCCATATTAAAAGAAGTGCCTTTTTTCAGATAACTTTCTTTAGAAGTTTTTATCTCCTGTTCTGTAAATTGAAGGTTCATCATACACAGGATTCACCAGAGCGGTCTAGGAGACTATTAACAGGTGCGAAGATAAGAACTTCAACATTAAATAGACTGTGCGATACAGAAACAAAATATCTAGGTTCTTTTTCAGGAAGTACTTTTTGTGAAAGTCACTAGTGCGGCTTAAGCAGATTTACCTGAAAGGTCTCAGCAACACAATTTAAGTTTGTTCATAAATTATGCACCTAAACAGACAAGGTTCAGAAAGTATTTTTAGACTAATTAATCAAGCTTTGCACAGTGCTGGAAGAAGAACATTTATTTTAGGGCGATTTGTTCATATCACCATGTACTGATGACCAAAATTGGTATGGTTAACAATAATTTTTCATAACACTTATTTCAGCATTGCCTTGAAAAGAGCAAAAAAAAAAAATGCTTTAATTTTTTACCTGCAGCATAGAGTCCTTTAGGGTTGTCTGGACATGAACGTGATAAATGCCCCATCTCTCCACATATGAAACACTTGGCATATGGAAACTCTCCTAAAAGAGACAAAATCATATTGGCACAACTACATATAAAATGATTGATGTTCTGGATGTTTCAGAGATATAAATGACATGGAACAGACACAAAGCTAAAAGCCAGGTGACTTTGTTGCATAAGAATATTAATCAAATTAGCAGAAGGACATAACACAATCTGTATAATATATTATTTAAATCCTGATGGCTAAACTGCATATTTATTACTATTAAATTCAGCTAATGAACACCCTACCATGTTGAGTAAAAAGTGGATGACTTATGAAGATATTTTAAAGGGGAACTGTCACTTTTTAATATTATGAGAGCGTATTTCTATATTTAACAAATATGCAGAGATGCATTGATTGGCTAGAGTGGCATTTGAAACCACTCCCAGCCATGCCTCTTTGGCTGAGATCATTCATGTGGGAAAGCATTGAGAGTCAGTTCTGATGATGTCAACCAGAGAGGAGGAACAAGCGCGCGGCGCTGGAGAAAAGGTAAGTTTAAAAAAAAATGTAAAATTTTTTTTTTTTTAAATGATTTAAAGGGTTAAGGGGGATCCAGGGACACGACGTGTGTTTTTAACACTTTAGGGTCAGGAATATATGTTTGTAGTCCTGACCCTATAGTGTTCCAATAATAAGGAATGAGTTGGGAGAATGAATGTAAAATACAATTGCTTATTCAAAGCCCATGCTCCTGTCAGCTGATATAATTAGACTATAGCAAGTAAATGATTATATAATAGGTGCTCATGATCACATTGGTTTCCTGGGTGATTTTTATAAAATAATAACTAGAAAATATTCCCTTATGCTTGCATTTACATCAACTCTTTGCAGAACTAAGAAAAGACAACGAACATTTCCTGAAAGCTTTTCTCTTAAAAAATGTCTTCCTGTAATCATCAAATTGTATATTAAGAATTTATATTAATATAATATCAGAGAACCAAATAAACTAATTTCCTACTATGTAAAAGGTCTGCACTCATTCCACACTTACTGTATCAGGAGCACTTGCAGATTATAAACCACCATCTGCCAATCGTAGTTATGCAAGATTTAAGTGCACAATCTACACTACCCCACAAACATCAATGGGCACAGTTCTTCATACTTTAGATACATGGCTTAAACATCAAACAAGAGATTTGCTCTCATTTCACACTATTGTCCTTTTAAGGACATGGGAACTACCTACAGCAGATGGTGAACCATGCCACAATCCTGTAATTGTTATCCAAGCATAGAACTCCAGAGGGTTATGGGAGATGGGAGTCTAAGAATATTTATGGTAAGAATTCAGTATCCCTTAACCTACATGAGCCATCATGAATTTGCAACTTCTACAACACATACTGTACTTTCATATGATTATTCCCAAAGCATATCATATATCTCACATGTACCAAGGCCTGGATCCACTTTAGCTCTGCATTTAGTGACTTCGTGCTCTGTAGACCCGCAGCGAAAACAGATTCCTGTTCCAGTTTCTTGACATCTCAACACCGCTGCACAATCTGCCATGCCATGTCCAGGCTTCCGACAATGAAAACAGATCTAAAGGAAAGAACAGTACATGCATTTATTTAGTGTAAAAGTGATGGATATTATACCAGACCCAATATAATAAAATGAAACAGTGCAAATGGTTACTTTTTTTTAACTTCTGTAAATAACTAGTTAAGATCTTAAAATCAGTTACATTTTGCGGTCTTGGGCATGCCACCAGGTCCTGCCTGAAACTAGTGTCTGGCTAGATCAATTTCACCCACGTTTTGTGTTTGGTGGACACACATTGAGTGCACATCATGGTCGCATTCTCCTCTCAGGAAACAGAGCTGCTGAATGTGCTAGAGGAGAGTCAGTGGGGAACTATCACCTAAATGGCGTTACAAAATAAACTAACTCATAAATTGCAGAGTTATAGGTCGTGCAGTGATGAGTGTAACTCCACTAGTATAGCTATTGCTAGTTCCCTGTCTGTGCCTTTGAGGGCATGTCAATAGCTGAAACGACTATGTAGTAATGTCCATCCTTTTATCGAGGAACGATCTGATGAGACTAGTGGCGAAACGCACGTGTCAAGGGCTCAGTGGTATCCTGATTACAAGGCTGTGCTTAGAAACAGCAGTCACTGTAAAAATTTAGACATGATCCACATTGTTTTACTGCTAGCACTATTTTAACATTGTTCCTCGATAAAAGGATGGATGTTTACAACATAGAGAGTCGTTTCAGCTACTGACAGGTACTATTCTAATCTATCCCAGACATTTATTTTGATGAAAGACTATCTTCTAGGCAGTTTACTGTTTAGCCTACACTAGCTCTAATACACTGGTGATTTCCAGGTGAATTTTAATACATGCCGATCACCTTATACCTCTGTGATCTTCTGTGTCTCAATTGTCCATATTCACCAGTGCAACATTCAGGTACAAATTGCTTCTTTAGGTTTGAATAATCAGGGTATTTCACCATCTGACAAGCCGGTATTTGTTATTCATATATACTTACCACATTTATCCCGTTCAGGAACGTAGCGTCCTCTCGCTAAGGTATTCAATCATTCTTCAATTACAGAGAACATGTGCCCCTTTTGTTTATGTTTTCATGCCAACCAAGAACGCATGTCACTGATTATTTGCATGAAGTTATTGGGCCTCATCTGCCACCTAAACGTGATTGGAGGAACTAGTGTATAGCGCTGCCTCCTTTGACCAATACAAGCGGTTACAATCAATAACTCCATCCACCACATACTATATGATTTGTCCAATGTATTTACGCATTTTGAAACTTGCACGCTTAAAACATATCCTAATGGATCATTCGGTGTGAAAATGAAACAATAACGAAATTTAAGACTGGCCACATGATCAAATGGGGTCAACCAGTTAGCACTTTAGGAGGGGTAATTTAAACCCGACATTTCAATTATGGTTTGCATTCCTAATGATTCCAGTGCTAAGGGTGAAACGCACATTGAGTGATATGACAATACCGTGTGCGCTTGACAGACAATTCACTGGTTTTCCTCCATGATTTAATTTCTTATATTCTATTTGGTAAGGTTGACAAGTGGTGAAATACGTACGGATACGACAGATACTCTTTGAGACTAGGAATACCAGAGAGCAGACTATTCATCCTATTTAGGATACCTTTTCCTCCTCATTCAATCTCTTTATTTTTTACTAGACACTTTCAAACCAGTTTTTTTTTTTTTTTTAAACTTGTATCCGAATTAGGAACTTGGGGGTTTGTGTATACGGGAGACCTCTACTGGATGGTTTATACTACTGAGCACATTTTACTTTGCTTCTGACACACAGATCACTACATGAATGAACTGCTATCATTGCTTAGCATGGACCATAGCAACCTCCTAGTGGCCCATTACGCTAACTTCGGTTGTGTCTGGCTTTCCAAGTAAAAGGTGTAGAAATAGCTTAATTCTTCTGGAGTAATTGCACAAGACCACTGACTGCTTTACATTAGGAGCTTTTCTGATCTCTGCAATTTCTTCAGCAATCTTTACGTACATAAAACTATTTTTTTTTTTTTTTGCTCTCTTTTCTCTTACGGATAGCCAAAGCAGCGACATTACGCTAGAGAATACAGCTTTAAATACTTTCGCTAGAACATAACATACGATGTTCTCATAAGACGCTTTTTACAAAAATAATATATTATTATTAATACAAGTTTTATGTATCTCTGTATCATTATTGAGTTCCCCTCACCATCCTGTCCTTCTTGTTAGTTTGTCTTTTCATCCTCCTGTTCTCCCTCCTCTCATCCTTCCAGTGGAAGGAGCTGCTGTCCTGGGCCTCCTGGTACTCCCTGAAGCCATTCACATCCTGGTTCAGGTAGGAATCCTTACTGGGTTTGATTTTCCTCCTCTTCCCCTGGGGCCCATTCCATGGCTGGGGAGCCCCCCTTTTAGCCGGCCCAGAGCCCCCATTTTTGTTGTCCTTCCTATCCGCTCCCCCCTGCAGCTCCTGCCAGGATGAAGCAGGGCAGACTTTCCGGTTCGGGGCGGCGGTGCTGTTCTTCCCATGCCTGGCCCAGCGGGTCATGCTGCCAGCTCTGCCTGCTGTACAGAACGTGCAGCCTAAAGCGACGTCGCAGATTTCCGGAAGCTGCCAGCGGCCATGTTTGTTATTGGCAAGTGTGGGTCAGGGAATATCATTGCTGTCATTATGTGGATTCCAGAGATCGGCCGGTTCAGCTATCGGCAAAGTAAAACGGATTATGTGACAAATTGTACAGGGATCCGGAAATTATTCTAAATTGATGGATGGTCGTTCGTGCACCGAACGAAATACGGAAGTGACGTCACTGACCGGCCCGGTTGAAAATTAATTCCCTCTGACCACAAGCGCACGTTTGGCAACGTTCCACATGAACATGTTGCTTTTTATTTTATTGGAATGAATAATAATAATAAATAAAAAAATCAACAAAATGTGTGGGCTTTTATTTTTAGTTTTTTTTTTTTTTTTTTTTTTGCTGCATATGTGTTGTGATGCCACTGTTCATTTATGACCAAAACACACACAGACACAGAGTTGGCTTGCACAAGGAAAGAGATGGGTCAAGGGTTTATTTAAGGCTGGGAATAAAATTGCCCATATTTGGGAGATTTCTGCATTTTTTTTTAGATATCTTAAAATAAATGTAAAACAGATTTTAAAACATTTCAAAGATATAGCAAGTTCCTGAATTTGCTGCAAATATCCAATCTTTGTTTCTATTGCAGTGAGCTCTGCCCAGGCCATGAAGTAACTCAGCCCATCATGCTGCTATGCCTCCCAAGTGTTCAGCATCTGACAATCTGAATTGGTCACCTCTGTCTCACTGACATGGGTTTTCATACCACAAAACACTTCAAATTGTCCAAGAGGGTCACTTTAATTTTAGGGGTTTAGCCGGGGGAGTTGCTGATCTGAAAAATGTTAGGGGACTTACTAACAATTTCTACAACTAAAATGTAATTTTGAACATAAACAGTGTATTTACCACAGACTGATTTCTAAACGCATTTCTTGTAGTTTAGAGACACATTACTAAGAATGTTATTGCAGTGGCACTCTGTTATACACTCTCACACACCATCAATATGGAGCTCCTCATTAAAGGAACTCTCCAGTGCCAGGAAAACAAACCGTTTTCCTGGCACTGCAGGTCCCCTCTCCCTCCCACCCCAAGTTGCTGAAGGGGTTAAAACCCCTTCGGTGACTTACCTGTTTCCAGCGTCGATGTCCCTTGGTGCTGGTTCAGGGTCCGCCCACGCTTCTCCCCCCGCATGCTTGGCCGGCGACGGGGGAGACCCAATGCGCACATTAGACCTCCCCATAGGAAAGCATTGAAAATGCTTTCAATGCTTTCCTATGAGGATTTCAGCGACGCTAGAGGTCCTCACAACGCGTGAGGACGTCCAGTGACGCTATAAAATCTGTGCTATAAAGCCCTCTACTAGACAGCCACTAGAGGAGGAGTTAACCCTGCAAGGTAAATATTGCAGTTTATGAAAACTGCAATATTTACAGTTGCAGGGTTAAGGGTAGTGGGAGTTGGCACCCAGACCACTTCAATGGGCAGAAGTGGTCTGGGTGCCTGGAGTGTCCCTTTAAGATAGAGAAAGAGAAAACAATAAAACCTGGGTTTGTTCCCAAAATAGGGACTGTGCATCCTAAATAGGTACAATTTGGAGATATGGGCTTAAAGGGATTCTATAGTGCCAGGAAAACAAAACCCTTTCAGTCACTTACCTGAATTCAGCGCCGATGTCACTCGGCACTGGGTCAGGCTCCGCCCACACTGCTCCCCATGGCCCCCACCATGGCATTGAATAATGCTTTCCTATGGGGAAAAATCATGCAGATCGTGAGGATGTCCAGTGTCAGATAACAGACCTAGGGTCCGTTTCAAACCAGGAAGCTCTCTAGTGGCTGTCTGTTAGACTGGATAGTAACTATAGCAGTTTCTCAATAACTGCAATAATTACTATAGCAGGGTTAAGGGACATGGAACATTGCACCAATACCAATTCAATGATCTGAAGTGGTCTGGGTGCCTACAGTGTCCCTTTAATCTTTGCGTTTAGGTTTCGGTTACAGCATTTCAGCACACTTATGCAGTGATCTGTACATGCAAGGGTTCTTTGTTAGCATGCTCACAACTTACATGCGATACCTCAAAGTGTATGAACACCTGATGCTAGGAATATATAACACCACTTCACCAATGTGACACTATGTAATTAGTCTCCACACACTGCTCCAACCTCTGAGAAAAGACAGGGTTTACATTGCTCCCTAGGGACACCTCCAGCAGCCACTCCTCAGATGGCTACTAGAGGTGCTTCCTGGAGCAATGCGTCACAGTGTGACTGGCATTCTTATTCTCCACCCTCTGCACAGAGACACTGAACTTTCCTCGTAGAAATGCATTGATAAAATGCATCCCTTTGAGAAGAGGCAGAATGGCCAGGCCAGTGTTTGACCCGCCTGCATCCTTGACCTCAGACAATCCAATGCGTTTCCTAAGGGAAAGCATTAGATTGATGGAAATCATCAATTCCAATGTCAGCCAAGGAAGCAGATCGGGGCAGAGCCAGCGCAGGCAGAGTGGAAATGAGGTACATTTTCTTACCTTTTAAGGGGGCTAAGAGAAGGCAAGCAACCTAAATGGTGGTTTTAATACTATAAGGTCAGGAATGTTTGTGTTCCTGACCCTATGTTTTTCCTTTAATTTTGGGCATATCATCCTTACATCTTATTCTGGTTTATGGAGTCTGAACTATTAAGCGTATGTTATCTGGCACTGCATGTTTCCAAGTGTTGACAGGAAGGGCTGATCACAGAAATCAAAGCTCTCTCTGCACACAGTCTCCGTTCCATTCAGAGTAGGAGTTTGAGATATTAAATTCCTTTGCCAACATTCAACTTGCAAAAGCTGTTGGCTTATTATCAACAATACCCCACCTTTGCTGTGTAACGGTGTTACTGGACACTGCAGAATAGGAGGGAGGGAAGGAAAGGAAGCAGCGGCAAAATGTACCGCAAGTAGATAGTATTCTAGAATGGAATGGTGGGGCATTGAAGGCAGTATTAAGATGGAAAATAATGATTTTTCTTGTTGCAAAAACAATATAAAACTGGTCATTAAAAAAAAAAAAGATTTTTTCCCCAAAAGCTATTAAATGCATAAAAGATATGTTGGTGCTTTAAATGTTTGTTTAATATGGGATAAGCTTATCAAAGCTAAATAAATTTAAAGGGACACCCAGATTAAAGGGAAACTGCAGACCCCTAAAGAACGTATAGGAACACTATAGTGTCAGGAATACAAACATGTAACTTTATGATCTCAGCCAATCCATAGAAAAGCATTTTGAGGCCGCCACGCATGCACAACACAACACCTCACTGTGCCAGTCAGCATCTCCTCATAGAGATGCATTGACTCAATGCATCTATATGAGGAAGTTAATTTTCTATGCCTAATGTCAGTTTTGTCAGGAAGCATCTCCAACGGCTGTCTGAGTAACGGCCACTGAAGGTGTCCCTAGGCAGTAATGTAAACACTGCCTTTACTATGAAAAGGCACTGTTAATATTAGAAAGTCTGCATGAACAGGCTATACTCACCAGAACAACTACATTAAGCTGCAGTTGTTCTTATGACTATAGTGTCCCTTATGTGTAAAGAGTCTTTTTTCTTCTTTTTTTTTTCCATTTGAAAAAAAGGCAGCAATTGCTCAGAGGACCTGCCTTGCAAAGACTTCTCATTGATCTGCATTGATAAGTTTGTATGTAATTGGACAACCACGTAAAGTCTGGGCAGCTGGAATGGATTACAGGTGGTTATCTTGCGGTTTTAAATACATTTTATGCTATTTTTAAAGAACAAGTGCTTGGTAGTGAAGTTGCTAAAGGGTTAAGATTTTTAACAGGGTTATTCAGTTATTCATAGTTTGGGAAATTTAAATTTGAATTCTGACTTTATTGAATATTGATACAGAATATAAAGTGAAATCAGAATCACATAGTGCATCTAGTCCCAAAGCCAATATATTTCAAATATGCTTACTAGATAAATGTTCAATCAGTATTTGGCAACCCTGGGCTAATTAGTGACGAGAACATTTGTATTCCATAAGCTTTTTTTTGTTTTTTTTAATTCACATAGTGATGGGCAAAATACTATAATAAATGGCCAGAATATACTTTGTACAGCCTGATTTAGAGCATTTACTTTTACACCACATCTGTCTCAAACTGGTGTTCAATTCAGAAAGGACAGGAATACTAGATATTGAAGTAAACCTATATATAACAACATGACAACATTGTACAGTACGTGTTTTTTTTTTTTTAATGAAAGTATTTTTTTTTTTTACATTTTACATTATATCTGAACAGAAAGCAGACACTATTTGCACTACAGGATACATTCAAAAACATTAAGAAAGACATGTTGTAGAAATACGTCCATATTATTTCCGAAAGGTCTCATTTATTTTATTGACTTGTTCATATTAAGATAATATAACAATCCCGTCTTGCCTGCTTCAAAATGTGTCAAGTTGGTGAAATTTTCCATTTAACCAGTGTTATTTCTGTGGAATTAGCAATGTAATGCGCTATCCTCTAACAGACAGAAAACACACTGAAACAAACAATGCTTAGATTAGAGGCCCAATGATGATTTTGGGAGAATGTCACCATTTTCAGAATCTGCAACAAATGTACAGTTACCTGGTCAATTGCCAAGAATGGTTGGGACAGTACTAGAATCTTTGTCAGTTAATAAAGGGGTATTTGACTTTTTACTCACAAGAGTTTTATTAGACATGGAAGATTCTTTGGCTTCCTTAATTAAGCAGTACAATTTAATATTGTCAGAGAATTGCGCGCTTTCTGTCAAAATGATTTTTATTTCTATCTCATGCTATAAATGACATTACGTTAATACAATAAGTACAGTACAATAAGGGAAGTGCTTCTGAGCTCAGTTACGAAGGGTTACTAGAGCAACAGATTATGAATGAATCAAAATCCATTTCAGACCTT